GTTGCCCTGAAACACAAACGAACGAACGAACGAACGATCACACTCCACTCAGTCATGCCCAAGTACAGGGTTGCTGCGTTGCTGAGTGCAACGCGCGCGCCGATCCGCTACCGCTTACTATACACACTTGCAGATGATGCGACTGCACGCGGCATACGTTTATCGCTCTCGCGAAGGGATGAACTCATCCAGAAATCCAGCCAACAAATTCAAATTCACAATTTATTCTTTGCGTCTGTCACCGACTGCAGCTCTGGTCCAAATGGCTAAATCGATCGATCGTCCATTCGAAGAATGAATACTACCGTCGGCAGTACGACTCTCTCTCTTGAATCGTGGGTGGAGCGAGCGAGTTTTGTGCCTGACCAGCGACAACTTTTCGATTCGGAGCGACTGTCGCGCAAACGATCGGTTCAACGATCGCCGCAACGGCTCGTTTCCCCCGTTTTCTCGTTTTCTATTCGCAACCGGCGACCAGCTAGCTAGCTAGCCACGCACGCAACGAACGCACGAACGTTTTGCCGCGGACGCGATTCAGTCACACGTATGTATATTCGCCACCACGTGCTCCCAGCTCTGTCGCCTTTCGATTTCTACGTGCCGCTCGTTCGTCGTTCTCACTTTTGGAATCGATCCACCATGATGGATTTTTTCTCGCGCACGCACGTATGTGAAAAAGTGGCAAATGCTATGTACACATCTGACTCTATCGACGAGCAACGTCGATGCAATTTGTACAACGAGTGAGGTAATCGTTACACGTTTGGCCGATATTTCATGTATCATTCGATATATCGTTACACGTAGCTGAGAGAAAAGCAAACCGCGCGAAAAGAAAGAGGGTCGTTGGATGAAAGAAGAGCGTTTGACGTTAAAAACGCGGTGACAGAGTCGGCCGAGTTTATGACCCCGAGGTCGAGGTTGTTATCGGCTGCTCGGCGAGTTGGACAATGCGCGGAAAATCGTAAAGATGCTAAAGGGACGCCATATCCAGTTCCATCCATCGAAAGTCCCGCTGACATCTCTGCGTTGCGTGATGCACAGATGCTCACAAAGCAGTGGCCTACGTATAAAGCTGCGAAACTTGGAGTTTATGTCTCTTGGAGAGACGAAGAAGAAGACTGCTTGCCGTTAGTCACGCGAAACTTTTTTCCTTCCTTCGATGCGCAATTTTACGGTTTCGCTTGGTTCGGGAACTTTGCTTAATCGGATAACACTGTCTGTCTTTCGGTGAGATGGCTCGCTATCGGCTCGTTTATTGCCTCGGCCGTACGTCTTTATACTCGTTAAAAGAGCCCGGTCTTGCGGCAGAGGATCCTCTGGAGAATAAGCCTGTCGAACGTTTCGACGCAAAGACCGCGTGTCGTTAAATGTTTCTCACTTGAAGCTTCCTTCGCAAAGGAAATTGCCGTTTCGAGGGAAAGGTGGTCGAAAAATCGAAGGACTCGACTTTTTATATACCAAAGACTATAAATTATTTCCGATACACCGATCTTGGCGAATATCTTTGCTCCGATTGGATTAACATTGAGCAATGATCGTCCACGAATACGTTTCACTGCGAGTCTGGTACGAATGGAATGGTTTACGACGTCGCTCGTAAAGACGAAAGTCGCGAAATCGAACAGAGGACAAACGGCAAATTATCCTCGCTCATGACCGAACGAAACGACCAGTTTCACCCCCGTTGTACGCCGCTCTGTCTTCGTAGATCTTCGAAGAACGGAAGTGATGAGAAGCGACAGCGTATTCGCTTGGAAGCGAGCGCAACTTGGCCAACAGCAGATTGCCAGCGCAGCGCGTTCGAACATCGTCGCTGCCTCCAACTCATAAATGTGCAAGGACATACATACGCGGCTGAGCACGAATGAATGAACACGCAGCTGTGGAAAATATTTCCCTCCGCGTCTCTTTCTCTCGGAATGTTCCAAGAAAGATCGCTCGTGCCGCCGAGAGAACTAGACTGACAAGAATTCGCGCAATGAATAATGCATGTTATCGGCCGTTAATCACGACGACGTTTCTTTTATTCCGTTTTATCGCGCCGAACCGCCGGGCAATTTCACAATCGTTTGCATAATCTATTTTTCCGCGCGGCGCGGCGCGGCGTAGCCCATCGTGACGATGCGACGACAGAAGAGGACTCTATTCATCCGATCGTAAATATTCGAACCGCGAGGCGGTAGCGATCCATCCTCGACTCAGTGCAACTTTTAGAGTAGGCAACGCGCAAGCAGCGTAAGTAGACATCTGTATGTAGGCGGGTTGAGACGATTGAAACGAACAGACGATTCGGGCGCAAACGTTGTGTACGCTGCGCGCAAAGAGACCTGGCGAAATGCCGAGCCACGCGCAATCTTTCAATGGAAAGAAGGGGAGACGCGCGCAATCGTCGAATCGA